CTTGGACATTTTTCTGAACCATTTAACTGCCACCAGACTGGTCCTACTCCCCTACTGATTTTATAACCTAATTTTCATGCACAAAATTCTCTTCAGTCTTTCACCTACCCATAGAAGCAAGTTGTGTTTTGGAACTAACTATCTTTACAAGTTGAACCCACTTTCCTCTCAAATTTAACTCCTGCTACTTCATGCTACCTCTCAGCACATCTCTCTACTTCAGTCAGTCTTATTGCTTCATGTCCCTTTTCTCTACTTGTTGTTGCCATTGAGTCAGTTCCAACACATAGCGACCCTGAAAGGGTTTCTGAGGAGTAGCTGGTGAGTTTGAACCTCCAATCTTGTGGTTCAAATTGATCTTGCAGTCAAGTGCTTATCCTACAGCATCACACCAGGACATTGCCTCTTAATCATCTATATTCATATTTGCTTTTCCCTACTCATATCTATCTATCCAAATATTAATCCTATGCTGTTTTGCTTGGCCACCACTTATCTGTTTGTTGTACTATGGTGGCTTGTATGTTGCTGCAATACTGGAAGTTACACTAATGGGTCCTTCATGGTGAATGGGTTTCAGCAGAGATTTCACAAACTAAGAAAGACTATGAAGAAAGGCATGATGATCTAGTTCTGAAAATTAGACAATCTGAACTTTATGGATCACGATAGAATACTTCCAGGTCCCTTGCCTTGGACATGTCATCAGAATGGATCAAGCACTAAAGGAAGACTATGTTTTGTAAAGTAGAGGGTCAGTGAAGTGTGGGAGATCATTGGTGAGACAGACTGACACAAAAGATACAATGGTGAACTTGAATATGTTGGTGATTGTAAGAACTGGGCAATGTTTTGATCTGTTGTACACAAGATCACCTTGAGTTGGAGTTGACAGCAATTAACAACTCTGCTTAACACAGCTTAAGTTAATAAAATTCCCTTTGATTCCTTTATAATTTCCATTCTAATGACTGTGTCATACATGTTGACATTCAAATGTACATTCATGAACTACTGTCCTAATGTTCCTTGAGAGTAAGGAACGTTACTGCTTTAGTGTACCCAGCATAGTAGTAAGTAAGTCATGAAGTCCAGTGACTACATGCAGTAGATGATTTCAGTAATGATGGGCAGATTAAAATTTAAAAACTACTTATGAGACTCTAGATAATCTATCTTGAGATATATCAAGACTGAAGAACCAAAATTAATACCTTTAACCAGCTTAGATAAATCTGAATAGCAAAGAATCTGAATGGCAGAGAATGAAGCTATTCTAAAGTTAATTTTACAGAGGTGAAATAGCAATTAAAAGAAGCAATATTATATGTTGGATAGATGAAAGCAGAAGAGGATATGATACTGAGCGTTCTTATATTAAGGCAGCAGATGTAATTCACTTTACTGACCTTCCACTTTACAAGTTTGATGCCCCAAGCATGACACCTTTAGCAAGAAAACAATAGACCTGGTATTGTTTTCTAATAATAAACTCTCCTGAGGCTTCATGATAAATGTTTTATAGTGGTTTTATGAAAAAATTCAAAAATTTAAACAAGGAGGAATTTTCAGTTCAGATAGGATTATAAAGGAAATGGAGTCCTGGTGTGGTGCTGAAGGCTAATACACTGGACCGAAAGGTCGGTTTGAACCACAAGATCAGCAGTTCAAATCTCATCAGCTACTCCTCAGAAACCCTATACAGAGTAGCTATGAGTCAGCACCGACTACATGTCACTTAACAACAACAACATAGGAAATTAGAAAAGCTACTTCAAAGTGGCAAGTGAATCTTTGTAGAACCTCTTTCAGTTCGATGGGTAGTTTGAAAACAAAAAAAGATTGCATGTTGTATTCTGTAATTTAGCTTCATCTTGAAATTACAACCGAATTCAAAAACTACAGGCCCTGGGTGGTGGCTTAATAAGAAAACCTGAAAAAATTGGAAGGATACTGATGCAGAAATTTGGAGAGGATCATCAGTTCCCCATTTTGTCTCAAATTTAATAAATAAGGAAACAGTTGGCAAACACCTATAAACCAGATGTCAAAACATTAAGTTAAATCTATACTTAATGTATTTTTCATAACTTTTTATCTAAGTCTGTTTGATAAGATCTGTTTGAGAGATCTGTTATAGTAGTTTCAAGGATTGTTTGTTTCTATGCTTGATACACAGAATATCATTATTGCTAGAATGTTCTTGTTATGTGCTGTGGAGTTGGTTCCGACTCAAAGCGACCCTGTACAGGGTTTCTGAGGCTGTAAATCTTTATGGGAGCAGAAAGGCTCATCTTTCTCCCGCGGAACAGCTGCTAGTTTCGAGCTGCTGACCTTGCGGTTCGCAGACTGATTCTTAACCACTACTCTACCAGTGCTAGAACATCCTTTATAAAAAAACTGTTTTTCACTTATGGTTACAAACTTGTGTGATACAGATTGATTCTACCTTTAAACTTGGAAGGTGTGCCTGTCATAAAGATGTTCAAAATTTATAACCATTTATTGAGTAAAACCATGGATTTAATTAATATGTAATAATTTATAAAAATTTCACTGATTTGATCTGGCTCTAATAAGCTCACCCAGTATAAAATAATTACATGTTTCTTTAAAATCTGGACAGCAGTAAAGGTATTTTTACTGTAAAATATGTTTATAATTAAATACAGTGATCTTGATAGATTAACTTTTAAGACAAATACATTTACCTAGATAGTAAAGAGTTATCTATTTCACCTACAATAACTAACAATCCAGATATATAAATTATAACAGTACTACTTAATAAGGGGTCCTGGTGTGGTACTATAGGATAAGTACTGGACTGCTTATCACAAGGTGGGCAGTTCAAACCCGCCAGCCATTCCTCACACACCCTATATGGGTTGCTGGGAGGTGGAACTGACTGAAAGGCACTTAACAACAACTTAATACTTAATAAACAAACATCATAATTCTATGTAACCTGTCTTAAAATATATGGAGGTTAGTCAAAAAGTATTGCTACCAGAATTATAGTTCATACATACATGGGTTTAACTTCAAATAAAATGTGTTTAAGCATGTCTCTGTGATGAGTGGAATGCTGCTGACAAGTTTATTCAATAGTGCTTGTCTTAGTTTCATTAGGATGTCTTCAAAAACAAATCAATCAAAACAGTGGCTTCCAAGGGAAACTGCTGGGCCAGTTAAATTCAAGGCAGAGAGGTTATCTCAGAAGGTTACGGTGACTGCTTCTTGGGATTACAAAGGGGTAGTTTTAATAGATTTTCTCAAAGGACATAGAATGATCACAGTGGCTTATTATGAAGTTTTAAGAAAAACTGAGACTTGCCTTGATGAGAAAAAGGCCTGGGAAGTTGTGCCAGGGAATGGTTTTTCATTATGGCAATTTGCCTGCTCATTTCTCCAAGGTAACAGGAATTGCCCGATGAGAATTTCATTGTGAAACCTTACTCCCTCTACCCTACAGCCTTGATCAGGCCTCTTCTTTTGTTTCCCTACACTTAAAGAACATGGAAAAGGAACATGATCTGAGTCCCTCAAGGATCCCCAACTACTATTTTGACACGGTATAAATAGAAGAATGCAGAATTCTTAGGAAAAGGGTTAGAGAGGCAGAAGCACCACCTTCAGAAGTGTATAGACCTAGATGAATATTTTGAGAAACAATAGATTCCCATTTTGATATTTTTGTTTAATAAAGGTTTCTATGACTTTATTAGGAGCTCTGGTAGCACAGTGGTTACAAGTTGAGCTGCTAACCTCAAGGTCAGCAGTCTGAAACTACCAGCTGTCTCAAGGGAGAAAGATGAGGCTTTATGCGCCTATAAATATTTACAGCCTCCAAAACCCTATACAGGGTTGTTATGAGTTGGAACCAACTCCATGGCACATAAACACCATGACATTATAGCAATAATTTTTACTTATCCTAGTAAATTCTTGAAAATCAAACCCTAAATATGAGTGAAATTCTTTCATTCAAAGCTATCTGAAAAATATTTCTTACAATGTATAGGAAAGAGGACTCCTGGTGTGATGCTGTAGGAGTAGCACAGGACTTCTAACCACAAGGTTGGTGGTTCAAACCCAGTAGCTGCTCCTTGGAAACCCTATACAAAGTTGCTGTGAGTTTGAACCTACTTGACGGCACTTAACAATAACAACGATATAGAAAAGAGAATGACACTAAAAGTTAGGGATAACATATTAAAAATTATTCAAGGGAATTATTGTTGTTAGGTCCCATCGAGTCAGTTTCAACTCATAGCAGTCCTATGCATGACAGAATAAAACACCGCCCAGTCCTGCACCATTCTCACAATTGTTACTGTGTTTCAGTCTATTGTTGCTGCCACTGGATCAATTCAAAGAAACAGCAGAAAGAATAACATAACCCATCTTCAAAACAAAAAGAACACAAACCAAGTAAGAATAGAATGCAACACATGCCTTTTCAAAAATACTCATAAATGACATCAAATTTTGTAGACCCTCGGATAAAAAGGAAAGAAATTGTTTTTGCATGCCTTTTAAATAAGATGGGAATTTTTTAAAGACTTTAGAAAGCTCTAAATCAGACAGTTTGTAGCTTAATCATTCTGAGTTCCTTGGGGATGATATGCAAACACTCATAGGCTCTGATTTGGCATGGAGCCTTACAGAAATGATTCACCATGTTAAAAATCAACTTAACTTTTTGCATTAAGGTTCTACTCAGTGTTTTTCAGAAACTTATTTTAAAGGCACTGTAAAGGTTTAGGTTGGCAGTTTCATCTATTACAACAGAAGGGATTGCAGTATTTTACATTGTAGGCAAGTTAAGTTGCAAAGTGACAAATGTTGGGATAGTAAATGATTTATACAATTCTTCCATTAAACAGAATACTTTATACTCAATAATATGCCCCCAAATCAGTATAAATTAATGTTTTATAACATCTTACTTTCACATCTGAAAAAGTAACGATGAAGGAATGAATAAAAACTCTTACCACTTGGCAGTACCACGACTGGCTCTGTAACCCTTTGTTCATCTGCTGACGGGAGGGTTAGAGAGATGATTGACACCATTCCCAGACTAGTTCCCACAAACAGACAAGGGGAGATGGTAGAGTCATTTTTCCGTGCAAAGGACTCCATGAAATACAGGGCTGTAATTGCTTCCTTAGAATCTTTATCAATACTGGAGATACTAGAGCTTCTGGAACGATTATAAGAATTTTCTCGGTTTTCTAAGAAAATTTGAAAAATAAAATGTGTTAGAATATTTCTGGAACAAGTAAGTTAGTTCAAATACATGAAAACCACAATTATGAAGAGGAAGTAGAATTTCATTCTTTGTTAACTGATCTGAAAGGCAGCTTCTCCAGTTCACTTGTTTATTTTGTAGATAGACTTGAAGCCTAGAAGTATAGATCAAAAACTTTGGCAGAGCTGGGACTACAACTTGAGTCTCCCGGATTCCAGTTCATTTTTCTTTTCCTATTATTATCTCAAGGAGCTCTGGTAGCATAGTGGTTACGAATTGGGCTGCTAATCTCATGGTCAGCAGTATAAAACTACCAGCCATTCAGTGGGATAAAGATGAGGCTTTCTGTTCCCGTAAAGATTAATAGCCTTGGAAACCCTGTACAGGGTCGCTATGAGTCGGAACCGACTCCACGGCACATAATAACAACAACAATAATTATTATCTCACACATTTGTTGAAATTCTATAAACTGAGGCAGAACACTGGTCTAAGTAGTTTAAGTTACAGGAATTTCTGGTACCATTTCAATTATGCATTTCTCCTGTCTCTTGTTAGAACTATTCTTAATGATATATTGACAATTCCTACTTACAAAAAACACTGTGACTACTGAGCAGATGGGACTTCTGAAGAATACAAATCATCTGTGCCTAACACATTTCCCTAACTTTCACAATTTGGGGTTTTACTACATGTGGAGTAATTACAGTTATAAAAATTGAACTATAAATAGTTAAATACAGGCCAAACTTGAACTCATTGCCTACTATAAATCCAACCTCAGACCTAATTTTGCCTAGGGTCACATAAGCCATCCTTTTGATAGTAGTAACCTTTCTGAGAGGACTTTAGTCCACTTACAGTAAACAGGATGATCTCAAGTTCTCCTCAACATCAATATTTGCACATGGTCTCACTACTACAAGCATAAACTTACCACCTCAGTTAAATGATATTATTAAGGTTCCCTGTTCTCATAATCACTCCAGAGTACAAAGTTCTTCATGTTACTCTATTTCCTTCACTACCTTTTCCTTCTTGACAGGTACATGCTGTCTCTTATTTTTATAAAAGGGGACAAAATGCAGATTCCTTAGACTATCATTTTTCTAGAAAACAAAATAAAGTATTCCTTATTTCCTTTTACCCTTCAGCAAATTTATGATAATTGTTATAGGATTTAGAAATGGGTGGGAACATGGAGGTGATTTATTTATTTTACATATTTAGAAAATTTCCCAGAATCTAGCAAAAATCAGAGGTAGAAATATCTAAATCTCAAAATTTCCAACTTTCAATCCAGTACTTCTCCTTGTAACCTTACATTTTTCTTCTTTATAGTATATATAGTTAATATGTACCTTCAAAAGGTTCTCATAGATATTCATGGCTGATACTCACAAACATCTATGTGCCTCCAATAAATGCAAATGTTTTGGAACAAGATTCTGATGATGCAATACGAAAGAACCAAAAGTAGTTACATTTTATTTTTAAAATTTAAAGAACAGTGTTGTTCTTTACAACAAAAATTTTGAGAGGTAACAAATGGGAAATTAATTTCTAGATTTCGCAGCAAACCTTCCAAAAATAATTTTTCTTATCTCTCGTCCCTAAGTTCATTATCAACAAGATAAGTAGTAGAAAAGTTACAATATTCTCTTTTCTTTCTCTAAAAGTTTCTGGCCTCTGGCTCTTACACTTTACTCTTGCCCCCACACTCATTCTATAAATAAATAATCCATCATTTTTAGGACATATTAAAACAAACCTGGAAACTTAGAATTTAGCAACATGTATTTTATCCTGATAGCATTCCTTTCACCATTGAGGATATTAAAGTTGTAGACCATTAAATAACATATTCAGCTAGTTAGATAGGACTTAAGATAGAAGTTCTAGTGTGGTGCTGCAGGATAATATACTGGACCACAAGGTGGGTTTGAACCACAAGGTCAGCTGTTCAAACCCATCAGCTGCTCCTTGGAAACCCTATATAGGGTCGCTATAGGCCACAACTGACTCGACTGCACTTAACAGATAGTCAGCAAAAGACATAAAGTCTTTACCACTGAGACTGTTGTTGTTGTTAAGTGCCATCGAGTCGGTTCTGACCCATAGCGACCCTGTACAGGGTTTCCGAGGGTGTAAATCTTTACGGGAGTAGAAAGCCTCATCTTTCTCACCACTGAGATTAACTGTCAATTATTACTGGGAGGACTGAAAAAGATTACAGCCATATCTATAATTGTGCAAAAGGAAGGAAGTCTTATCATAAGCAGAGCCCTTCTAACTTTAGATATGAGAAAGGAGGTATAGTGAGGAGTGGATTTGGAGCCATGGCATAGTTCTCAGTTATTCCCTGTCTAGTGCCAACTGTGGAATCTCTATTCTGACACACAAGGGTGTGTTCATGAGTCACAATTAATCTTATAGCAATGGATTTTTGGTTAGAAGTAATGGTAGCTTTATATCTATACACAGATATATAGATAGATGTAGATAGATAGATAGATAGATAGATAGATAGATAGATAGATGGATAGAAATATGTTTTTTGTACTCTTGATGTGACAGTATAGGATAAGCACTGGACTGTGAACCACAAGGTTGATGGTTCAAACCCACCAGCTGCTCCTTGGAAACAATATACTGTGGGTCGTTTGGAGTGGCAACCAACTCGACAGAATGTAAAACAACAACCTGTTTCCTTGTCCCTCAGTTTTCATTACCATAATAAATCAAATTGTAATTATACCCACAAAATTGATATGTTTAATCTACCTTCTGTTGTAACTGGTAAAGAAATCTCCATGCAAGCAGCTGATTGTGCCTTTCGAAATGGTGGTCTCCCACCCCAGCGATTTATTTTTGTAACGTCAGCACTAGAAAGACGTTTTCCAGAACTGCAACTCTGAGAGGTTGGACTTGTGCAGTGTCCATTTACATGGTCTGTAACAAAAGGAGGAAGGCAACATGAACATCATAATTAAATCTTAATATAAAGAAATTGTGAAATTAATAAATGAAGAAAAATACTTTTTTTAAAAAAATACAAAGATAGCTGAATCCTTGTTTTATGATCTAGTCACAATTTTAGTAGTTAGTCAAAATGTTCACAAGGTATTTATATAATGCAAGGGGGAGGCTTCAAAAGGTTTGTGGAAAAAATCCACTATCTTTTAATTCCATTTTTTCCATGAACTTTTTGATGCCCCAGTCTTATTTATTTTTATAATCTGACGATCATAGTTTAAAATTTACGCTATAGCCTCTTTACATATTCTATTATTTAATGGCATTAGGAAACAGGTTGTAGTATTAGCTTTTCTTTTGGATATTTTAAGTATATATCAATTTAAGTGCATTCTAGAAGTAATTCAAGTGTTTGGTGTTAAAAATGTAAGTACAACTCTGGAGCCACATTGCCTGGACTTAAATCTCAGTCTGCCACTGAATTGTACAAATTTACTTGAAGTCTTTGTGCTTTAGTATCCTCTGATGTAAAATAGAATTATTACATAGCTCATAAAATTTTTGTGAAAATACATGGCAAGTACATAGAAAACCTGCAGTAACACTGAACAAATATTAATTATCACTTCTGTCCAGGTATTAAACCTGTCCATGTCTAAACCAACAGTACTGTTCATTAGAACTTGTGAGTCAAGCTCTGTTTTGATACAACTTATTGTTGTTGTTAAGTGCCACTGAGTCAGTTCCAACTCATGCTGTTAAGTGCCATCGAGTTGGTTCTAACTCATAGCAACCCTACATACAACAGAATGAAACACTGCCCAGTCCTGCGCCATCCTTACAGCTGCTGCTTTGCTTGAGTCCAGTGTTGCTGCCACTGTGCCAATCCATTTCACCGGGGGTTTCCCTCTTTTTTTCTGTATCTCCACTTTACCAAGCATGATGTCCTTCTCCAGGGACTGGTCCCATCTGATAAATATCCAAAGTATGAGGTACCAAGTCTGGCATCAATTCTTCTACGGTCTTCCTTAATCACTGACCAACTTTTACATGCTTATGAAAATACCATGGCTTGGGTTATATTCACCTTCATTCTCAAACTGACATACCTTGGAAATCTGTCATGCATCTTGGCATCATTCTTTGCCAGGTTCTAAGTTTCTCAGTGCAAGGACTACAGGCCGTAGGATACATTCTACTGTCAGCTGTTTTCTCTAGGTGGTAATAAATTCCCCTCTCTTTGTTTATTTCTCTCTCCTTTTATCTCTTATAAAAAATGTGTTGAAGGCAACAATACTGAGTGCTGGTGACATTAGGTAGGGTAAAGCACTGGACTGCTGACCATAAGGTCAGTGGTTCAAACCCACTAGCTGCTCCTTGGAAATCCTATACAAGGTGGCTAACCAACATGATAGGATTTAACAATAACAGGCCACACCACAGGGAAATTCTCAGGAATGTGGTGGGACTAAGGGTATGGCATCCCACCCTTAATCTTTTATTGGTTTACCCCATCAGATCACATCATGGGGTGGGGGTTGTTATATAACTGCCACATTACATTATAACTGCTAAGCCACTGATAATCAGATCCCAGACAAGTTGGCACATATTTTGGGGGAACACAATTCAGTCCATGACAATGGACACTTAGACTGTTTCCATCTTTTTGCTATTGTATACAGTGCTGTCATGAAGTCTGTTGGTTTTAAGTGCTGTCAAGTCATACAGGCACGTAGTGACCCTGTATAGGGTTTCTGAGGAATGGCTAGTAAGTTTGAGTCACTGACCTTTAGGTTCAAACTGACCATGAGGTCCAGTGCTTATCCTACAGCGCCACACCAGGACTACCTGAACATGAGTGTGTGTGTGTATATATATATATATATATATATATAATGGCACTTAACAACTATATATATTTATACTTGTCATGGCTCTTATTTCTTTAGGATCTATACCAAGGATTGGCATTTTTGAATCATATGGTCCTGGTGTGGTGCTGTATGATAAGCACTTGACCACAAAGTTGGTTTGATTCACAAGTTAGCAGTCCAAACTCACCAGCCACTCTTCGGAAACCCTATACAGGGTTGCTGTGAGTTGGAACTGACAGGACAGCAATTAACAATAACAACGAATGGTATTTCTAGTTTTACTTTTTTAAGGAAACAACATACCATTTTCCACAGCTGTTGTAGTATTTCACAGTCCCACCAGCAATGTATGCAGGATCCAGTCTCTACACCCTTGCTAGCATTTGTGAATTTCTGTCTTTTTGAATGTTGCTATTAATTGGTGTAGCATTGTAGGATAAGAACTGGACTGATAACCACAAGGTTGGCAGTTCAAACTCACTAGGCGCTCCTCAGAAACCATATACAGGGTCACTATGAGTCAATTCTTACTCAATGGCACGTAACAACACTGGGCTGAGAGCTCTCATTGTTGTTTTGATCTGACTAATGATAATGAGCATTTCTTCATATGTTTGTTGGCCTTCTAAATGTGTACACGGGGGCTTCAAAAGTTCATGGGAAAATGGAATTAAAAGAAATTTTTCTGCAACCATTTTGATGGCCCCTTGTATGGTTTTGATTTGTATTTCCTTAATGACTAATGCCCCACATATCAGCTGTTGTAGTGTGTGGCTTGCATGTTGCATGTTGCTGTGGAAGCTATGCCACAGATGTTTCTAATATCAGCAGGGTAACCCTTGGTGGACAGGTTTCAGCAGAGCTTTCAGACTAAGAACAGACAAGGAAGAAGTAATAGGCAGTCCACTTCTGAGATATTACCCCCTGGACCTTATGAGTAACAGTGAAATACTATCTAATACAGTGCCTGAAGATGAGCCCCTCAGGTTGGCAGGCACTCAAAATATGACTAGAGAAGAAATGCCTCATCAAAGTAGAGTTGACACTAATGACATGGCTGGAGCAAAGTTTTCAGGACCTTCATTTGCTGAAAGGCACAACTCAAAATGAGCAGAAACAGCTCTAAACATCCATTAATAATAAGAACCTGGAATGTATGAAGTGTAAATCTAGGAAAAATGGAAGTTGTCAAAAAAGAAATGGAACACATAAAGATTGATATCCTAAGAATTAGTAATGGACAGGTATTGGCCATTTTGAATCAGATAACTTGTGTGGTTTACTTTGATAGAAATGGTAGGAAGAGGCATGGTGTTACATTCATCATCAGAAAGTATTATTTCAAGGTCTTGAAATACAATGATGTCTTGAAATACAATGATGTACATAGGATATTATCTATGTACCTACAAAGAAGACCAGCTAATACAACTATTATTCAAATTTATGCACAGATCACCAAAGCCAACGATGAAAAAAATTGAAAAAAATCTACCAACTTTTCCAGTCTTATACTGATCACACATGCAATCAAGATTCACTGATAATTACTGGGTACTGGAATGAGACAGGTGAAAACAAAGAGAAGGGATTGGCAGTTGGAAAATATGGCATTGGGGATAGAAATGAAGCTGGAGATTTTAGGATAGATTTTTGCAAGATCAACTACTTCTTCATTGCTAATACCTTTCTAAAGCAACATAAATGGTGACTATACATGTGGACCTCACTAGATGGAATGCATGAAATCAAACTGACCACATCTGTGGAAAAAGAAGATGGAGACGCTCAATCTCATCAGCCAACATAATGTCATGGGTCAACTGTAGAACAGACCACTAAATTCTCATATGCAAATCAAAGCTGAAGCTGAAGAAAATTAGTCCAAGTTAACAAGAGCCAAAATATGACTTTGAGTAGATTCCACTTGAAGTTAGAGAATGTTTTAAGAACATATTTGACACACTGAACACTAATGACCGAAGAGCATAGGACTTGTAGGATAACATCAAGAACATCAAACATGAAGAAAGCAAAAGGTCATTAAAAAGACAGAAAAGAAAGAAAAGAACAAAGTGGATGTCAGAAGAGATTCTGAAACTTGCTCTTGAAAGTAGAGTAGCAAAATTGGATAGAAAAAATGATAAAAAGAGCTGAACAGAAAATTTCAAAGGACAGGTTGACAAGACGAAGTAAAATACTACAATGACATGTGCAAAGACTTGGAGTTAGAAAACCAAAGGGGAAGAATAGCCTCAACATTTCTCAAGCTGAAAGAGGTAAAGAGAAAATCCCAGCCTCAACTTGCAGTGTTGAAGTATTCTTTGGACAGAATATTGACTGATGCAGGAAGCATCAAAAGATGGAAGGAATACACAGTCATTGAACCAAAAAGAATTGGTTAAGTTTAACCAATTTCAGGAGATAGTGTATGATAAAGAATTGATAGTAATACAGAAGTTTTCCATAAAGCCCCTCTGTTATTTCCACCTAATCTTTGCATCTTGATTACCATGTACATTTGTAAAAATAATTTCAAAAACCACTATTCCCTATCATGGATAGTGTAGGTGCTTTATAATAGAGTATTCACAATTTTTCGCTCCCATCCCTTCACTGGTGTGGTGCTGTAGGATCTGCACTGGACTGCGAACCAGAAGGTTGGCAGTTCAAAGCCACCAGCTGCTCCTCAGAAACCCTATTCAGGATTGCTATGAGTTGGAACCAACTCGACAGCACTTAACAAGACAAAAATCTCTTCACTGGACCACAAAGTCAATTTGAACTGCAATGCTGGCAGTTCAAACTCACCAACTATTCCTCAGAAACCCTATACAGAGTCTCTATGAGTCGGAACCAGCTCTATAGCACTTAGCAACAACAACCCCTTATACATTACTGTCATACATTGCAATGATCTATATGCTATACTCACCTGGTGTGGCACTATCAGATAAGCACTGGCTTGCTAACTGCAGGTCAGCAGATCAAACTCACCAGCTGCTCCTTGAAAACCCTATGCAGAGTCGTTATGAGTCAGAACTGACTCAAACAGCACTTAACAACAACATACTCACCCAACATAATGTTGCTATTATT